TGTTCACGGAAAAGTGAGCAAGACACGACAGTTACAATATATTATGATTGTTAAAAAAGAAAAAAGACATCTAACCGTCATAACCAAATTAGGCTACATTTATTGTCATATTAAATATCTCAATGCACATCATTAGATATGACATTAAGCACAACTTGTGTAGATTTATTTAGTAAAAAGGCTTGACTGCTTCATTATTTCTATACTTTCTATACTTTTACCATTTAATCAATCTCAGCATGCGTTAATTTTGTGTTGCTAGACATTAAGGCTAAATGTTAATTTTGTGTTGCTAGACATTTGCATCACTAAGGCTAAATTATGCCATATTGCCTTTTATGCCTAAGTCTTTCTTTGGCCTGCGCTCTGGAAGTGATCTGTTAATTCTGCTACACTTTAATTAAAACTGAAACTAAACTATATAAAAACTAAATAAAAATGCGTTCACAAAATAAAAATGAAACTAAAACTAACAACAATATTAATGAAACTAATAAAAACTAAACTGAATTGTACAGCAAATTTGAAAACGATATTAAAATAAAACTAATTAAAAAATGAAAAACTATAATAACCTTGGTTCGAGCCACATCTAGGGCATGGAGATGGTAGGTTTATGGGTGGAGATGGGTGGGTTTAGGGATCAGGGGGTGGAGACGGGTAGGTTTAGGGATCGGGGGTGGAGATGGGTAGGTTTAGGGGTGGAGATGGGTGGGTTTAGGGATCTGGGGGTGGAGATGGGTGGGTTTAGGTATATGTAAGGTGGGGGGAGTTGGATATGGATCCAACCTTGCCGCCTGGATCTTGTGTTCTGCAGTGAGGACCATCTCCTAAATAAATAATTATAATTTGTAGAGTTTATTTGCAAAAACTGACAACTCAAAATTTTTCAAAAATCATGTTTTTATTGTTATGTTTTTATTAACTGCGGTTTGATTGAGATTAATTGGAATGCACAATGAAAAAACATGATTTTTGAAAATGGTTAAAAACGGAGTTATCTGTTTTTGCAAATTAACTCTTCATTTACAGTTTATGTGTGCATGAAAAAAGTGGTGCATGAAGTAAGCAATAAACAGCATTTATTAATGTAAATGATTGAGATTACCAGTGTCTGTGGCTTCCTTCTTTATCTGACACTCTTTATTCCTGTCTTGTGGTATGACTTCACGTGTGAGGTTCACAAAGTCCTGAAGGGGGCAGCGCTGGGAACAGCCCGGTAAAGACACAGAGTATGGCTCAGACACATTAGTGTCATTGCGATAAAACATCTCCACTGAAAACGTCCTGAAAGAGCAAAGCAAAGGTATATTTTAGTTGACAAAAGAATGTCTACTAGAAACATTTAGGAAAAACAGTCAATATGTTACCCGTTCTCTTCCTGGTGAAGTTCAAATAGATGACATGAGGCATAAGGTGGCTGCAGGCCATTAAAGACATTCAGAGTTTCCTGTAGGGCTACAATTGTTGTGTCATGCTAGTGAGGAAAGAGTTAACATTACATGAACTGCTTACCCTAAAGAGGACAAATGTATTTTTTTAGTATGCTATTGACTGAAAAAAAGGATGTTTGGGTGTTTTGGTCTGCTGATGTGACACATGACTTACCGCTGAGTATACCATCATCTTCACTTTCTGTTTAGAGTCCAGTGCTGCTGCATTTGAGAGATTCTTAATTATCTGATCTAACAGCAGGCCTGTAAATGAGAACATAAGAGCTGTTTTAGCACATTAACGTGTGACAGGATCACAGTACTGCACTTGTGTATTCAGGTCTGAATATAGAGCGGTCCATCCACTGTTTCTTTGCATTGACATTTCCATGCAACTGCACACCATTTGAGGAAGCAGCCTCTCCCTCTATTACTACAAAGCTGATTTGCATATGTGTGCATAAAAGTGTCAGAGTGTGTAACTATGAAAATGCTGTCAAGAATCTTCTCTCTTCTTAAGAAACTACTCTCAATGTTTAACCTCGTATAATGTTATTCTCTAGGTTTTGGTTTTTATTTGATTCTTATTGTTTATTCATTTAGTTTTATTGTTGTTGCGGTTGTTGTTCGTGTTGATTTGGCATGAATTAAAAAATAAATAAATAAAAAATAAAGCTCTGCCTAGCGATAAGCTCTCACCTCCCTGAAGTCTGCACTTCTCCTTTCTCTTGTAGACTCCAAACAAAATCTGAACACCAAAGTTCTTTAACACCTTTAGCGTCTCCATGACACTTGAAGTCACCCAGTCTGGTGGTCGCATCCCATGTTTTGCCTGGGGAAGGAGAATAACAAAAAGAGACGATTATCTTATCTGACACAGTCCATGGTGTCTGTCTGAGCATTTGGATTTAATCGATTCTGAGCATCATGAGATCAGTCTGGAGTAGTGATTCAGCTTGTGGTAAGGCCATTATTACAAGACATTTACCACAAAGTCTCTCTATATCATGAAAGAGTCCACAAAGAACAGGGAACAGTTTTACCCACAAGCCATCAAATTTGTCTATAACGACAGTTTAGTTTAGAAAGTTTTTCCTAATGCTAAGAAAGTCATGAGTGCATGTGTGCAACTCACCTCACAGAACAATGTGTCATACACACTCCAAATAGTCTCAATGTTGGTTTTCTCCAGTCCTGTTTTATTTTTCACCATCTCTATGAAGGCCTGCATAAAATGACATCATTTTACAGTGTAGTAACCATTTTGGCTGGGATGGCTCATCTAATGTTTTTTTTTTTCTTTTTGCACATTTACATTGCAAGTTTGTAAGTTATGTACTAACATGTACGTGAATTACTAACATTAAAAAAATAGGGAGCAAGAATAAAAATGGAATATTGCCTCGTGAACAAAAATGTAAACTGTAAATACTTTGACAGAGGGGCAAGTTTTCTGCCTTTCTGTTTTTTTGAAGTATTTGAAACATTTTCACAAAATCAATAAAATGATTTACATTTCTTCCATTTATATGATATTTACCCAACAAAATAAGCATTTTCACAAGGTCAGAAATCTAGGGATTCAATATAATCTTAAAAACAGGTCTTTAAATCTAAGGGAAGAATGTTATTAATTTACTTATTAATTTTAATAATCGCTGTAAAATGATCTTGTTTATGACATATGATCTGCTGTTATAAATGAGTTTTTGCAAGGTGGACTCACCTTGTAGGTTTCAGTCATGTTAAGAAAAATGTCTGTTTTTTCAGTCTCGTTCATTAACTGTGTGTAACGTGGACAGTCATCCAGAGGGAAAGAAAGCAGCTGGAAAGAAAAAATAAATAAATACGCACAAGCACACTGTAGGCAGGTCATGTAGCCATGGAAACAGATTTTAAACATACAGAGACATTTACTAATGCTGCTGCCCAGCAAATATGACTTCATTGCTAGAGAGGTCAGGGCCAAGTTTCAGTGTGCCACAAAATTGTGGAGAGAAAAGTGGGAACAGAACTGCAGTGTGAACAGAACTACCTTCTCTTCATCCGCTGGGACAGTGTGAACAGGTATTGGTTGCCATTTCAAATCTGGATTAAACACCTCAGAACCATTAGGTGGGAACATGCCAGCCAGGTTCGCTTCTGCACTCATCAGAGTGCGGTCAACATCTGTACTTCTTATGAATATCTATAACGCAAAGACAGGATTACTTATTCTATTTAAACAAACGTGACAACTCTATGTTTAAAGGAATTGTTCAAATTTTGTCATAATTTACTCACCCTCATGCCGTTCCAAACCTGTATAAGTTTCTTTATTATGTTGAACACAAAAAAATATATATTTTGAATAATTTTAAAGAATAAAAGTTGTTGGTCCCCATTGACTTCCATAGTAAGGAAAGAAATACTATGGAAGTCAATGGGGACTTTCAACTGTCCAATTACCAGCATTCTTCAAAATATCTTCTTTTGTGTTCAGCATAAGAAACTCATACAGGTTTGGAACGACATGAGGGTGAGCAAATGATGACAATTTTCATTTTTAAGGTGAACTATCCCTTTAAATTGATTGAATATGTTTAAACAATTTAAAGAGACAGTAACCTCATGTCGGTCATAGTCCTCACTCAGGAATCCCGTGTACCGTTTCTTTAAAAACTGACCCAGTTCGAAATGCTGCTTCATTCCCTCCTGAAATGATCAGAAGATTGAGTTGAAGTAATAAAAACACCCTCTTACTAAATCTTATGGTGAAAGAATGAAATAAAATCCTTAAAGGTGCATTCAGTAATTTGGCGCTAACTTAAAGTTGTAAACATTAAGAAATAAACTGTTTTTGTGAACAGTCATCTGAATGTGAGATGAAGGTTTTACTCATAACTATTTTTCTATAAAAAGTGTTGTAATTATGTAAGGGGCGGGTCACCCCCTCAATGTATACATAAACACAATATAGCACAGATACTTGCATGTCACTATATAAACTAAAGGCTACTTAAGTAGCACACAACCAATTAAAACAAAGAGCATAAAGTATGTGTGTGTGTCTGCATACTGTACCTGAGAGAGCTGTCCAAAACCCTGGGGCCAGTCACTCTCCTTATAGGGATCAGTTGGATAGGCCTTGATTGGAGATCTGTCACCATGACGATAAAGCTGACGGAGAGGAAGTCAAATACCCCATAAGTATTGGGGATTTATGTATGCATGTAAGTATGTATGTGTGTGTGTGTGTGTGTGTGTGTGTTCAGGAGGAAGAACTACACTGTGCAACTGTGACTAGATCAGCAAATCCAACTTGTCATGTGCTCATCCTGACACCCGGACACAAGCCACAGTTGTGTGTAAACACAATCTAACTGGTTAAGCAGATTCAGTCTATCTCCTTATCTCTGTCTTTCACAGAAATCAGCCATGTTTAAATGTGTGTCATGCATTACGTTTTCAGTACTGGCTTGTGGCCTTCTCTCATTTACACTAAAGTCTATAGTAATATTTACCTGAATCATTAAGTAGGTGTTCTAGGAATGCATTCAATTATAGTCATGTTACACAATCACGCTTAAAACAGCACAACCCTCTGGTTTAAACTTCCTCATCTGCACTGACCTGATCGTCATGATTTACCACAGAACACTTCTTTTCACATAATTAAACCAGGTGTCAGTATCAAATATGTCTACCCACAATACAAAAAAGGGTTTTGAGTTTTTTTTTATGTGGCGCAGAGGTGAAACAAAATGTATAAACATTCATATCTTCAGTATGATATAGTAACACCAACATACAGTGTATTAATGAGGAAAAAAAATTAACTTAAATGATTTTAGCAAATGGCTGCAATATAACAAAGAGTGAAAACTTTAAGGGGGTCTGAATACTTTCCGTACCCACTGTATGTACAAAGTAGAATAAACATATTTATGTGTGCAAATAGAAGAAAAGTTAAACCACATCTTTAAATACTCTCATTTAGCATACAATTCAGTTTAATAGAATGGAGAAAAAAACAAAAATAGAAGTGTTTTTTCTCCATTCTGTCACCGATGGAGTTTTGGTTCCTTGCCGCTGTCACCTCTGGCTTGCTTAGTTGGGGACACTTCATTTCCAGCGATACCGTTGACTTGATTGCAAAGATACTATTTAAACTGAACTGAGCTGGATGATGACATCACTGAATTCAATGATGAACTGTCTTTAACTGAAAAATGAGTGTTTACTATTGTCATTTTGCATTATTGACACACTGTTTTCCTAATTAATGCTGTTCAGTTGCTTTGACACAATCTGTATTGTTAAAAGCGCTATATAAATAAAGGTGACTTGACTTGACTTGACAATCTGGTACTTTTATTATTGTGTATAAGCCTAAGCGATTGGAATTTTAGAATGGGGATACACAATGGAAATTTGAACCATTTTTGTTTATGAATTATTATATTCCATACAATATAAAGAAGTTGGAACATATTCAAGAGATAAATGATTTTCATAAGAACTTTGAGAACAAAGAAATGGTTTACATTTGTAGGGCTAAGAATAAAGGAACTTAAATTACAATAAAACAATTAAATAAATGGACAGCTGTTTCTTCTGAGATACCACAAAATGAACATGCCTCAACATTGTCAGAACTTCCTTATAATTGGATATACAAAACTTGCACATCAAAAGCCAGGCCTTTTTCCTATCTATACATCCAATACAAAAGAACCACAGTAGAATGTACTTGGAATAAACCTACTGGGATAGCTTGAATCAAAGCATTTTATTGCTTTGACTGAACTGGGAGGTGCACTGAAAGTAGGGCTGCACGATTATGACAACAATAATAATTGTCGATTATTCCCTTGAAATTGTAATTGCGATTATTAATTATGATTATCACAATTTACATTGAATGATGTTAATACCATTGTTTGATGCAACTGCATGCCGTATTTTTTATATGAAAATAAACAAGCTGAAAACACTCTAACTGAAAAACTTTTAGTGCTTTTCTATAGTATTAAGCCTCAAATATCAACTATACAGCGGATTGGTTTCTTTTTTAAATTATAACAAAAATAAAAATATGAATGGTATTATAATGTTATACTAAAACTAAAATTAAAATAATGGGAAAACCCCTTAAGATAACATGTAGAAAGAAAAAAATAGCATCTTAAGCACGCAGAATAACATAAGTGGACTTTGAACGATTACCTAATTGTGGCATCCATAATTGTAATCGCGATTACAAATTCGATTAATTGTGCAGCCCTAACTGAAAGTAACAACATGTTTCATCATATGATGAACTCAAATATTTAGCAAGCTGATAGGTTGGATACAATATCAAATAACCCACGTTTAAGTCGAGAACAAGTTGTAGAGCCAAAAACAAAGTTGGTAGCAAACAATGGTTACTCATGTCAGCAGATATTGCCACTCACGTGTTGTTACTGTTGGATACCGTTTCAAACTAGACTGATATCACTGTCGATACAATATAATCAATGCAAAGCATTGAGAGCGAATAAAACCGAAAAGGAAACACAAACTCAGCTCACATTGTAATGCATACAAATATGACACATAACAAATGTGAGTCAGAATGTGTGTGTCATTTTATGAAAGGTTTTTAAGCCGAACGGATGTCAAAACAGCTGCAGACAGTATGTTAGTATAATACTGCAGACAGATTATAGCTACATTATGCATTTTATTGTTCCCCATATGAGTGTGTAAATTGATACTGTTCAATAAAAAAAAAATAAAAAAAAAAGATTATAGCTACATTATACACTACTCACAACAGTGACAAACTTCAGCATCCTTTCTCCACTGGAAAGTCTGAAAGTGAAGAGGAAAACGACGATCAGAAAACAGGACTTCATACTTGTGGACGAGCAGCTGAGGCAGAGTACAGTAACCTAATTGAACGGTCGTTGTCTGGCTGATCTGGCAAACACAGGAGGAGCTACAGGGGTTTCCGGGTAAAAGAGGGCTCCCATTGGTCAACGCATTCTGCGACGTAAAAACACGTAAATTGATTGGTCGGTCAAAATGAAAATCCACTCGTTATATTTTTATGCTGTATTTATGAGTTAATGTTTAACCTGATATCCAAGCCTCAAATATGGTGTATCTGAATATGATAACCGATTGTTTTCACACTTAATTTGCTATTTTAATTTTGAAAGGTAATACATATTATTTTTAATTATTTTATTTTGTATTTTCATACAGACATTTTGAAATACTATGTTCATCTCCGTAATTTAGATAGAAAGTAAATAGCAAGGTGTTATGTATGCACAGGGTTTAATTATTACCGATTTACCTGTGTTTACAGCATAGACTGTATAAAAACAAAAGCGACAGCTCAGGTTCGCCTGTGAACGATGTTTTCGGTAATTGATTACGAAGGATCTGTGCTCTACTGGCTTCGTCTGTACGCTTTTTTGGCAGGAGGTGCTGAACACAGCAACAAATCTAAAGTACATTCGACCTTCTTTTCGGGAAATAACAAAACTATTTCTCACAATATTTATATAAAGCCGAACATAAAATTTATACTGAATATTTAAACAACGTTCCTGCTGCTTAAGTGCCCAAACGTACTTGTTTCACTTGACATCTACGATTTCAAGGAGTATATTCGGACAAAAATATGAGAAAAAGGTAGGCCAAATCTGAGACCCCGTGTGGTTGTCTTAAACATATTTTAAACAAAATAACACTCATAATTTAAACACCACGCAACTGTGTATTAATACATCACCCGTAAACTGTAACGTTAGCCTGCTAACCGCTAAATGTGAAAGCTGTTAGCATAGTTTCCTCATTTAAAAACAAACATCGTAAATTTTATATAATTTTCAATGGTTACTTTATTCTATGACCATGAAGTTACTTAGCACTTTTATATCCCCTATCTAGCTTTAATAGCAGAAGATAACAGCTGAAGTCAAACATGTAGCCTGCCAGATGGAGGATAGCTCAAGTTGTCACAAGACATGTAAAGCTAATCCAAGTTTTTTCACTCTGTTAGCTTAGGGTTGTATTCCTAAATGTAAATAACATTTTTATAATTTTATAAGTATATTTATCCATATAATACAGGCAAGTGCATAAAACTGCGTTTGCTACTATTTAATTATTTATAAAGACTATTTAATTATATATCTTTATTGATTTGTTGTCATGATTAGTTCTTATCTATTTTAGCCTTTCTTTTGTTATTTGCTGAAATATATCTTGTCTTACATATCTTACATGTTACCTAATTTCCCACCAGTTTGATTTTAGTAACATACCTTTGTAGCCTTTTTATTAATATTTTGTATAGTTTTTAATGTATTTTGTGTATATTTATATATGGTTTTTATTAATGTTTATTTTAGTTTTCATTATTTTATTACATCAAGTTAAACTAAATGAAAATGTGAAATATTGGCAACTAGCTGAAATAAAATAGTTGATTTTTAAATTTAATTTATTTATTTTTGTTGGTGTTGTTGTTTTAGTTAACTAACCCCTACAATAAAGTTTCTATTTATCTGTGTAAGATATTAAAAGGAGTCTTTCTGCCATTGCATGTGTGTATTTGTAATTTTTGTAACAATCTTTGATTGTTTTTACACTGCTCTTCTATGCCCTGCCTATTCATGTGACACCACCAGGATACACCATCGTTTCGCTCTGTAGTGTTGATTCAATGTGCGTTAAAAGTTATTTTACACCTTGTAATCTCCTTTGACACCTGTGCTGATTGCGCAGATATCATATTTGGAGACAATCTGTGGTGAGATACAATGCTGGAAGATTTAACACTGAATTTAAATAACTTCTTACCGAGAAATGGGAAATTGTCTCATTGTCACGAAATTAATATTGAGTTGTATTCAAGTTATGATGTGTTATATTTCTAAGATATTCATGAGCATTGATGGCCCTTTTTTTTTGGAAGTTTTATGACAATTTGTTGATCTCTTTGTCTCTCACCCAGAATGATGGCATGGCAGTAGCAGTGGTGGTCTAGTTGTGTGTGAGCCGGTGGACGGCTCTGGGTCTGGTGTAAGAGGGTTGGAGCGAGGAAGAGTTTGTGGAGATGAAGGTGGGACAGAAGAACTCAGTATGTATCCTGTCAAGTCGAGAGCGAGGAGCACGAGGCCTTGCCTCACACAGGATCCTACAGCAGCTTGTAGAGGAAAAGACACAGCGCATGAAATGGCAAAGCCAGGTAACTGACGCACAGATCTCTGTCATTTGTTGACTTGTAGCCTCTTGTATGGGGAAATGCCTGCTCAGTACAATGTGTAATGTCAGAAGCAATAAGCTGCCTACTGATCTTACTGTAGTATCACTATCACAATTACAAAGTAACTATTTTTAATATTATTAAAGTGCCCCTATTATGCCATTTTTACGGTTCCTAATATTGTTTTGGGAGTCTCCTACAATAGGATTACATGCATGCAAGGTCAAAAAACGCTTTCGTTTTCTCCAAATATGCATTTAATATCACCTCATTTTCCAGCGATTCTCAAACGATTAGTTCGAAGCAGTTCAAAGATTCAGTCTCTCTAAACCCCTCCTTTCCGTGAGCCTTCTGTGCTCTGATTGGTCAGATGGCCTAGTCTGTTGTGATTGGTCTACGGCGTACAGCGGTGTCGGAAACGAGACGCCTATTTCAATAGTTCTGTATTTTGAACGCTCTATAGAAAATATAAACATCTATTATTTATCGTACTTGCAGGTTGTGATTCAGTGGAGCAGCTGGTCCACATAAACAGGATACTGATCCATCTTTCAACAGCGAGCGTTTTGTGAATCCCGTGGTGAACTCTCCGAGATTAGTTCAAGTTCAAGTTGTTCGAGTTGTCAATGATGTCAAGTTGTTCGTGGCCGGCCAACGTAGAACATAGGCGCACATTATGCAAATGTGTTACCCTGTGACGTGTAGCCGTCACGGAAGTGGGATTCGAATGACTAACGACTCATTTCGGCTGTTCAGAGTCGATTCTTTATTTTGGGAGACAACAACTTTATTTATCGTGCACTTTCAGCTTTACAACTTTGCAGATCATTTACATTCTCATACAGCTACATTACACACTGCATGAAAGGCAATATTGGAAATGGCATAATAGGGGCACTTTAAGACAATTTTGTTTTTATTTGTTTCGCCAACTGTTGATCTTTAGAATTTATTTACTATTTGACGTTCTAAATTAATACAAAAATTCTAAAGAACTTCTAAATAAATACCTTTATAGCCATAGGATTCTTCTTTTTTAATAATTGTCAAAAATTGACTAGAAAAAGTACACACTACTCAGCACCCGTAAAGGGCCATTCACACCAAGAACAATATTTATTTTAAGCTTGTGCTGCAGGCTTCTGCTTTAAATGTGTAAGCTATTTAAAGCTGGGTGAATTCTGATCGGCTGTCAATGTTTATAATGTTCATCAGCTGAAAAACGATCATTCTCAAAGTGATTCCAGCAATATCATTCCTCCATGTCATTATCGCTATAGTTGTAGTGTGGACTTCACTATTCTCATATAATTAAAATGATTTTTAAAACTTAATAGTTATATCTATCATTCATAATAGTTTTCGTCTTTGGCGTGAATAGGTCTTAATACTGTGGTTTGGATGTGACTGAGGTAAAATCACTGCTCTATTGATTTTCTTTCGGTGTCACAGAAAGTGGAGTTACCAGACAGCCCTCGCTCAACCTTTCTTCTGGCCTTCAGTCCAGATAGGTAAGATAACTGACTTCTTTTTCATAGTCTTCAGTACAGATCTGCTAAATAAACTGACAGGCTGATCTCAGGCTTTTCTAGTTAGGCCCTATCATCGACAAGCTATGCAGAGAGTTTTTGCTATTTGTCTCTTCGCAGGTCTTTAATGGCCTCGACCCATGTGAACCACAACATCTACATCACAGAGGTTAAGACCGGAAAGTGTGTTCACTCTCTAGTGGGTCACCGCCGGACACCCTGGTGCCTGACCTTTCACCCTAGCATCCCTGGCCTTATTGCTTCTGGCTGCCTGGATGGAGAGGTCCGAATCTGGGACCTGCATGTAAGTCTTGACCATACGCATATTCAATGATTGTTTTGTCAACTTGTAATCGTTCTGCTCTTTGCTTTAATATGTTTTTTGTTTTCTGTAGATTAGTGGTCGACCGATATATCGCCAAGGCCGATATTTGGCATTTTTAAAATCTCGGCATCGGCCGATAAGTTTTCCTGTTTGGGCGATGCGTTCGAGGCTTTTATTTTGACGCCGCGACAGACTTTTATTTTGACGGCGCTGACAGCGGCCTTCTCTCTCTTGTTCGCCGTCGTCGTTAACAGTTCTGTCTAAGAAGTCTGTCTAATAATCGGATAGAACGGTTAAACAAAGGAATTAAAATGTATACAAAAAGTATTATAACGATTGCTTTTATATTATTAGTAATAGAAAGGCAAACATTATAATACTTTCTCATTTGCCATCAGCATTCAGCAAATACGCATTTATATAATTTAAACAAATCTTTGAATGACTAATGAACATTTAATTTCACAAAGCTTGCAAACTTAGTCGAATCCACCTGTGAGATCTTATGAAGTGTGATCGCGTGTACGCTGCATGATGGTCGGTCCGTGTGAATTGAATGCGGACAGGAGGAGAGTTCAGCTTCACTGGAGACGCGAGATCGACAAACTTTAAACTAGTGATTTCAAATTATGCTGTGCTTTATGCATTTGCCCACTGCCATATGCATGTCATTTCCACTGTGTGCTGTATGTAAAATGAGTGTTACCTTGGCTTTATTTGAAAAAATATGATTCCCAATGCACACAAACTTCCCAGAATACTGAGTGCCCTGTTGGTTACAGTGTTTACTTCCTTTTTTATTATATTTTTTGTTAAATATTTATTTATTTGTGAAAAATACTTTGTCATCTAAAGTATAAGTATATTTATTTAACACATTTACTTTTTAATTCATTTTCAAATGATTTGAAATTTCTTAAACATTAATTAAAATAAATAAAATTGTATCGGCTTTATATCGACCATCGGCCACCCTGCTTTCCAAGATATCGGTATCGGCCGTCAAAAAAACAATATCGGTTGACCACTACTGTAGATTTGTCACCACAAGTTAATTTTGCTTTTGTGTGGTGTTGTTTCAGGGAGGCAGTGAGAGCTGGCTCACAGAGAGTAACTCAGCAATTGCATCCCTTGCTTTCCATCCTACTGCTCAGCTGTTGCTCATTGCCACCAACAATGAGCTACATCTGTGGGACTGGAGTCGGAAGGAGCCCTTTGCTGTGGTGAAGACTGGTAGCGAGACAGAGAGAGTCAGGTTTGATGCACATACATTTTATTAATTTAAAGGGATAGTTTGCACAAAAATTAAAATTGTGTCATCAACAACTCACCCAAACCCTTTGTCGTTCAAAAAACATACATAAGAACTATAAAACACTAATAAAAAAAAACACAAACTTTTGATACTTTATACATTTTGTAAAATAAATCTCAATTAAGCAGTTTATTCCATCTTCTGAAGATAAACGATTGCTTTATATGATGAACAGATTTAATTTAGGCTTTTATTCGCATATAAACATTAATTAATGCACATATATATAGAGCTTATCAAATATGATAAAGGGATTCTCAAATGTTCTAGTTTGACGAGCAAAAAACAATGTGGTTTGTTCTTGCATGTCAAATAAGCACATTTGAGAATCCTTTTACCATATTTGATGCACTTTATGTATTTATGTTATATTTATAACATATAATTATTAATGTTTATATATTAAGAAAATCTGTTCATCATATAAAATTATCATGTCTCTTCAGAAGACTTGTGGTGCATCCCTAATCGCATACTTATGCACTATTCTATGACGTTTTGTAGTATGAATAGTGTGTTCACACTGAAAATTAAAAAAAAAAAAAAGTGCACTTTAAATACCCGGATAATGCACTTAAAAACCTGAAAAGTGAAGTGTGGCATGTTGAACACTTCATGTACTCAACTGTCACAGCTTTAATTACGTTGCGAAAGGGGAGGAGGCTATCAGATTCCGATTGTTAATGACAAATTAAGTACAAGTGTATAAGTGCATAGTGTATAGTGTGTCATTGGGATGCAGTTTTGGATTAAACTGCTCACATGGACTTTTTGAAGTGTCAGTTTTTGTGGAATGGATTTTAAATGGAGGGACAGAAATTACTCGGGTTTCATTCAAAATATCCTCATTTATGTTTCAAAGATGAAGTCGTTTGGGTTTGAAACAACATGCGGGTGAGCAAATGATAAGTGATTTTTAATTTTTGGGTGAACTATTTGTGACTTTCCGGTGTTTTTTGCAGGTTGGTGAGGTTTGATCCGTTGGGTCATAATCTTCTAACTGCCATTGTAAACCCTTCAAACCAACAGGTGAGTCTTTTTGCTGGAATTGTAGTTGTTTAGGCACAAGACATTACGTTTGTATTCTTTCAAATTTGTGCATATGCTTGCATTTGTGCGTTGCAGAATGATGATGATCCTGAGATTCCAATGGACAGTGTGGAGATGCCTCATCTCCGTCAGCGCTCTTTCCTCCAGTCCCAGCCTGTAAGACGCACACCTATCTTGCACAATTTTTTGCATATCCTCACTTCCCGCAACTCCGTCCCTCAGGCTGGAGGCACTCTCGCTGCTTCCAGTGATGAGGCGTCTGATTCGTCTGGGCGTTATGCTGTTTTGAGGGCTCGATCCCGGCTGCCGTACCATGGTTGCGTTCAGCCACTCGGAGTAGTGTGTTTCTGTAGCCGTTGCTCATCAACACGGGTTCCGTCTCCGCCTGACGAGGACCCTTCAGACTCTGCCTCCCTGGAGGGGCAATCACACGCATCCACCTTTTCTTCTGCACGCACAGAGCCGCGAATACCACGGCTTCCCACTGAATCTTATGCTTCAAATCGGCCCTCAGCATTTAGCTGCGTGTATGGTGGCGGGAGCAACGTGCGGAACATTTCTTCTAGCTCTGGGAGGAGGGGAGTGTCTGGAATGGCACCCATCCCACCTTTCCGGCAGCAACCACCAGGCAGGGAAGATGGAAGCCGTCTCCCTGGGGCAGATTGGGTAGGCTGTGTGCTTAATGGACGAGGTAGTAGTATGACTCCACCCAGAACCAGCGCTTCCTCTGTCAGCCTGCTTTCTGTCCTGCGACAGCAAGGGACTTCTAGCCAGTCACCTGTTTACACCTCATCTAGTGATGGATGGGGCCTTCCTCGTAGCAGCGGCAGCACATCAGGGACTAGTTCTAGCGGGCACCGCCCACCAGAGGAAGAGGGCCACAGCAGCCCTTCTTCCATCCGCAGTGTTCTTCAGTGTAACCTTAACCGCTATTTCATGGAGTATGATCGAATGCAGGACCCTGTGCAGCCTCAAGAGGGCAACAGACAGGACCAACAGACTCAGGAAATGCTGAATAACAACATGGACCCAGAGCAACCAGGTCCATCTCATTACCAGCCACTCTACGGTGGCGAAAACCCTTCACGCAGTCACATGAACCGCTGTAGAGTCTGTCACAACCTTTTCACCTACAATCAGGGCACTAGGCGCTGGGAGAGAACAGGTCAGGAGACATCTGCTGAGAGAAATGCAGCTTGGCAACCTACAAGCCCTGCCCTCCACAGTGTAGCCCCAGTCTCTCATTCTGATCATGACCTACTTGAACACAGACCCATGGAGCCCAGCCCAGACGCCCCAGAGCCTCATATTCCCTTTTCCCGCAGCACAGCTACTGGTCAGCACGAGGAGCAGACCGTTGGGCTGGTCTTCAACCAGGAAACTGGACAACTGGAGCGTGTTTACAGGCAGTCTGCCACCTCTCGCTCAACAAATGTACCACAAGAAGCCTTAAACCAGGAAATGCCTGAAGACGCGCCGGATGACGATTACTTACGCAGGTGAGGCAGCAGTCTTGTTTGAATGCTTCAAGAGGTCATGTCATGAGGAATTAAACTTTCTTGTTTGTTAGATATTGAAAGGTTTCATTGTAGTAGAAAACATGCCAAGTTTCCTCACCAGTCCAAAAAGATTATGGAAATTGAGCCGCACTAATGACTAATTTTCACAACTTACTGATATCAGATGTTAGCTCATGACTATCTACATGGAAATGACAGCAATGTCGATTTATGTTGAGAAACTTTGCCCGACTAGTTACAGTGAGGTAAATAGGAGGAAGTAGGATAGCAGGGCTCAACTGAAAGAATTAATGGGGTCACTGCAAAAAAAAACAAAAAAAACTTTTGGCCATATACTCTACTGTTCAATAGTGACAGTGCAGACATTTGCAATTTTACAAAAGATCTTCAAATAAATTATATTTGTTTGAACTTTCTCTTAATCAAAGAATCCTGAAAAAACGTGTCACAGTTTCAACAAAAATATTAAGCAGCACAACTGTTTTTAACATTAGGAATAAGAAAGGTTTCTTGAGCACTAAATCTGCATATTACAATGATTCTGAAGGGTCATGTGACACTGAAAACTGGAGTAATGGCTGCTGACATTTCAGCTTTGCCATCACACGAAAAGTTACACTTAAAATAATTTTCAAGCTTTTTTATGCCTTACAAACTTAAACATGGATTGTTTTGTGAACCTGTCACAATGTAATGCAGGCTTTGCAAAGATGCTGTTGGCAGTGCAAACTGTATCTCAAGGCTCAGCAGCTGAAAATGGTTCGCATATGAAATGGGCAACAATACTGCGTGAGTTTGATGTCATGTCAAATATAATTTTTTACATTCTTATTCTTCAGTAATAGCCTCTTTGCAAAGCCTGTGTTATATAGTGACAGGACCACAAAGCAGTCCACACTGCGATGCGCCACATAAACTGTCATTAGAGTAAAATGATCAGGAACCTTGTTTGGCCTTCAAAGAAAAGTGTCTGCCATGGAAATCAGCTTGATCTGACCTTGTGCCCGTCTGTGTGCACTCTATTAGCCCTCTCAGCAGAGTGTGCCATCCAGAGCTGGGCCTAGTTTTAATGAGGTGCTTATCTGCATATCAACACTGTCACTTCCCCACAGCACAGATGAATAAATATTAAGAAGTGAGTGAGGTGACAAACAAAGTTTCTTTTTGCATTTTGTTACATAAATTATAAATCTCACCAGAAAGAAATTGCATGGAAACAGGCCAGTGTATCTGCATGTCATTGTTTTTATACAGTATCTGGATTTATGTAAATTCACAAGAGCTTGTTGTGTTCACAAAGCATGTCAAAAGTGAAGTGCACAGCAGACTTTTGGAGCCTTCACACACACACGTCAAAATTTCACCCTGAACTGCTCAAAGACCCCTATAACAAATTAAGGTATCTGCAAGATACTGACAGAAACTGTAAGTGAAAGGAACATGTTTGTTGTGTTTATGCTGTTCATAGCAACACAAACAGAAAGAATCTGTCATTTGAGATTTGTGAGCTTATATTTCTCACCCTTGTGATCTCAAATGTAAGGGACAACAGGTCCTTGAAATCCCGACAGTGCTTGAATTTAGTTGAAATTAATTAAATTACTGAAATATCTGGAAAAACTGCATCTTCTATTGAAAAGTGATTAAAAGTGCTCTCAGTGAATAGTAGGCCTATATGTATACACTACTATTCTATTTTTTTTTTTGATCTTATACATTTATTTGATTAAAAATACAGTAAAAACTGTAATATTGTGAAATATTATTTATATATATATATATATATATATTTATTTATTTATTTATTTATTTATTTATTTTTCAGGATTCTTAAAGAAATAGATCTTTTGTGATGTAGGCTACATGTCTTGACTATCACTGATCACTTTAATGCACCGTTGCTGAATAATAGTAATAATAAAAAAAGTCTTATAAACCCCAAACTTTTGAATGATAGTTTACCATATGTGTAGTCTTTTCATCATGACAGCTGTAGGAAGAGTAAGTTGATAGTCTTACCATAAGACTGTGCTTAAGACAGATTTATTTTGTTTGTGCATCGCCAGGAAACAGTCTATTGTGCAAGATACTGACAGAAACTGTAAGTGAAAGGAACATGTTTGTTGTGTTTATGCTGTTCATAGCAACACAAACAGAAAGAATCTGTCATTTGAGATTTGTGAGCTTATATTTCTCACCCTTGTGATCTCAAATGTAAGGGACAACAGGTCCTTGAAATCCCGACAGTGCTTGAATTTAGTTGAAATTAATTAAATTACTGAAATATCTGGAAAAACTGCATCTTCTATTGAAAAGTGATTAAAAGTGCTCTCAGTGAATAGTAGGCCTATATGTATACACTACTATTCTATTTTTTTTTTTGATCTTATACATTTATTTGATTAAAAATACAGTAAAAACTGTAATATTGTGAAATATTATTACAACTATACAGTATATTACAAATACAAAGCTAAATTGTCAGCACCCATTAGTATGACATGATTCTTCAGAAATAATTTTAATATGTTGATTTGGTGCTCAATAAGCATTTCTTATTATTATCAGTGTTGAAAGCATTTGTGCTGCTTAATATGTTTGTGGAAACCGTGATGTTTTTTTTGGGAATCTTTGATGTATAGGAAGTAAAAAAAAAAAAACAGCAAAAAATTAATTAATTGTTTACCTGGGTCTTCAGTCTATGATTAACTCACCTCACCTCTTATCTGACAATTAAGTCTTCGGGTTTGAGTCGTTCGTGACAGCCCCATAAACTTAACCAATGCAGTCTGAGCCGGAAAGACAATTGATTAGTTTAACTCTCGAGTCTTCGGATTTGAGTCGTTCGTTCATCACGTGACAGCCCCATAAGCTTTAACCTATGCAGTCTGAGCCGGAAAGAGAATTGATTAGTTAATCTTTCGAATCATTCGTTCTTTTGTCACGTGACGTGACAGCTTTGGATAGAGAAATTAGTTCATTTACAAGCTTCCTTACAAAAGGGTGCATAGTTATTATTATTATTAGTAGTAGTAGTATTATCATTATTATAATTATTATTTACTCTTACAGTTACGTGATGCGTTTCTGGTCTCAAATTGTAGCTTTTTACTTCTTACAGTTTATAAATGTGTGAATTTCTGTCATGATGCTTCTTTTCCATAACACTGAATGTTGTAAAAAAGGTAATAAAGAGTTGGTTATTATTATTAAGTCTCTTGGCTCAGACTGCTTAGGTTAAGCTTATGGGTCTGTCACGTGATTAACGAACGACTCGAAAAACCCGAAGACTCTAAACAGGTGAACTACTTGACTAATTCCAGTACAGAACCTATAGGATGTTGAGCATGCGCGACTGAACGAATCACTCCCCGAGACGACTCGTTCTTCCCGAGTCACATTAAAGATTCGTTCAAAATGAAC